ACTGCAGGTCCGACTTATACTGAAGAATGCCCAAACTAACTAACAATTTCGTATTTAGATGAGGAAAGTCTTCAGTTCAATATTTACGATCGTAAGATTATTGATCGGAAGGAGAAATCAACTTAGTTTCGTCATTTTCATTCACAATCTCTTGTTGAGAGTCGGGATATATAAAGGAGATCTCTTGTTTTTTTTCTCATTTCTAATCATAACACCAATGAGCAAAAATTAATGTCAATCGTTCTCTTCGTGCCTGATAAAAAATAAACCTTAAGGTCTACTATAATGCGGGCTGCTTTTATAATGACTTTGATAAAAAAAGAAAAAGAAGCATTACATTAAAAATACATTTATTTGAGTTAATAATTTCTTGGTTCGCTAGCAAACGCTTGCAGCAATTTTTAATTAGCATAGTGAAAGGCTTTTCTCCAGCATTAAAAAAAGCTTGATGTCGTTTTTATTGAGGTTTATTACTAACTGACTGACTGACTGACTGACTGACACAACCGGAATTGGTTAACAATTCACAAAAGCAATTGAAAGAATTTATGTTTAGTGGAAGAGAAACCAGTCATAAAATCGTCTCAATATGTAGATGTGCATGACTGCAACGCAATGTTCAATATGCTAGAATGAATGTGTGAATGATTATACACCTACCCCAAGAGTACAGCGAGAGTTAGTAGTGTCAAGTTAGTCCAGTTAATCATGATTAGTGAATAAGTAATTCAGAAAAACTCTATGACTTCCTGAGTTTCATAAATTTTTCCATTTTTTTTTTTTATTTTCGCGATTTGAAAGCCAACGTACATTGGGCATCTGTGTGTTGCATTCAATTGTTTCACAGAGATTCAGTACACATTTTATTTAGAAATATTTCACACAATTCTTAGCAAGCGATGCGTGTATGTAACTTTTTGTCAATCGAGAGAATGATCGTAAGCCTTAACATAAAAATGATTGATTGAAACGAAAGAATTGAATACCTTTTGCCATTATCATGCGATTGATACGATCGTATGGCACATCGTGCACTGCCAAATTCTAAAGAAAAAGGAAACCTTGTACATATCCATAGCGCGTTACCTGCGTCAAGCAGGTGGCGACTAGTGAAGAGATTGGGAACAATTGACAGAGAATTTAGCGGGAAAATGCTTTAACGGATTAAAAATGTCCCGATTAATTTAGATAGTGTTCGATGGGTAAGTGTTAAGCCTATATACACCTCAATCACACACTATGTCAACATGACAGTCGAGCTTCTTATGCGGTAACACCTAATACCTAAAAAAATCAGGCAACTTCGACGAAAAACAATTAGAGAAAGTTTAAGAGACATTTCATATTCAGATGATCTTAGCGGTATGAGGCATTTATAATTAAGGAAAAACTCCTTACCTACCATTCGTTATCAAGCGACTACAGCTTCCCATCCATTCAATGGCAAAGTCCAGTAGCCATAATAACAACAATGCGTTGCCTTATTAAAGTGTTTGCTGTGAAGCTGGACCGACAGTCTTCCCTGCAGGCACCTATTCTATTCGTTTTCGCGAAGCAATCTAGCTCTACACAGTGCATCACCATATTTATAACACAACCAATCTATACTAAATGGCCATATTTCCATCTAAGGTCAAGCTCCGAAAAAAGATTTGTTTTCCTAACTTTACTTAATATATAGCCCATATAAAAATTACTTAAGATTTAGAGCTCGAAAGGACATCTTTTAAGATACTTGGTATTTTTAAATTTATAATTCCCAGTATAAAAAATCCTTAAGAGAAATTTTGCGCTGAATAAAGAGATTAGGATATGATGGCAAAAAAAATTGAAAGACATCAATTTCCCTCAACTCTTATACACGAGATGGCATACTGGAAATGCGAGCAATAGCGCAGGCTTAGGGAAATGAGTTCATTACAAACCGAAGAAAATCAACTTAATGAGAAGCTTTCAAGTCTCTAACAAAACGAAAGTAATAACTTTGTTTGAATATATGAACACATTTACATATTCATATATAATGCTTTAAACAACACTGTGATAATGTTTTTTAAAAAGAAATTCTTTAACATAAAACATTCTCTTACATATTAAATAATAAAAGTGTTCCTCTCATGCAATGCTTACAGAGAGAGAGAGAGAGAGAGAGAGAGAAAGAGATATGTATTTTTCCTTAGTAATAAAAACAATCCTGATAGTGTGTTGGGATAGGTTATTGATATAAAAGAGCTATGTGCGAATATAAACAATGAAAGCGATGGCATTACCGCTAACGAGGATTTTATTCTAAAAAATAAAAAAAAAAAAAAAAAATAAAAATATAGAAAAATATAGAAAAATATGAAGCAAAAACAACTTGCGTGTGTTGTTCATTCTCTTTAATTTTCTCTCTTCCTTTCTAGGACACTCTTGCACTCTCTTCATTATGCCGTGTAATACACTCTCAATTCATTCAGCTTTGGAAATAAGACACAACTTATTTGTGTGATTTTTAGGTTTAGGACCAAATAATACACATATAAACGAAAAACAACATACAATAATCGTAACGACGACTCTTCATCGACCACTTTTTCATCAACTTACTATTGCTGTTGTCGTCGTTGTTATAGTTGTTATTCTTGTTCTTGTTGTTTTTGTTGTTGTTGTTGTTGTTGTTACTGTATTGTGGTTCAGGGAAGAGCAAAGAATATTTTGTTTTGGCCTGTGTGTAAGGCTATTAAGGAGTTCAAGTCGTGTATACTGTGTAGATGTGTGACGATAAAAATTTTTCGCATAACCATTGCTCAGTTTCGCATTCGTATCTGAACGTAACGTTACGTCGTTGTGCAAGGATACGCACTATATAATATAAACATATATATATATATATACACATATATATATATATATATATATACAATGAAATTAAACGGTGTTATAATAAACATAAATTTCTTCTTTACTAATTATGCGTACACACGCACGCACATAAAAGCATTCATGTGAAAAGTGCATAAATTAAATTAAATCGCAAAAAAAAAAAAAAAAAAACAAATATAAAATAATATCTCGAAAAAGATGAAATATATCAGAAAAGAAAATATATATCAAAAAAAATAAAAAAATAAATAAATAAATAAATAAAAGGGAAAATATCACTGATTGTTAATAAATAATAAAAGTAATAATGCTAAACAAATCGATGGCCTTTAATGGCTGTTATGTTGTAAATTATCTTCTGTTTATTAGAAGATTTACACATAATACATAAATTTCCACAACTTAACAAATATACCGTATATAGGATAAGTAAAGCAAACGTTTTGCAGATAATAATAAAAATTCCTTGCACGTTATTGTACGCGCCGTACACGTTCCTATCTTAACAAACGTTGTGGTGTTTGTTGTTGTAATTATTATTATTATTATTATTATTATTATTATAATTGTTGTTGTTGTTGTTAGTTTGTGTGTGTGTGCATTTACTTACTCTATCTATGTTCGCTAAGCCTTTACATCTAAGAACTAAGTATTTTATATAAACATACATAATGAGCGCCCGCGTGTGTGTGTGTGTGTTTACGTGTGTGTGTAAATGCTTTATTTCTTGCAACAAAGTCGTCGCCGAGTTATCGTTGCAACTAAACTGTACTACTGTTGCTGGTGCTGCTGCCTGCTGAAGGTAAACTTTAGCACGCACATGTCATGTCATGCCGCCATGTTATAAAAAAAAAAAAAAAAAAAAATGTAAGAAAAACCCCAGGTTTTCTAAAAATCCAATTTAATTAAATTAATGCAAAAATTTTTAGCTGCATACATTGCGGCGCAAACCTAGTGCATACAAATACATTCGCATAACTGTGCATACGTATTATATGCATAAGCATATATAAATAAACATGAGCCACACACACGCACATGACGCCAACGTGTGTAAAAAATATGTCAATCACTGCCAGTGCTACTGCTACTAATAATGGCGCAGCTGCTGTTCTACAGCATTATTATCTCTGTTAGTTTAGTTATCAAGCAAAAGTGAAAACTATGATTATAGCCATACCAACGATAATGATGATAATGATGATTATGACTATGGTCATGATGACAACGACTATGATGATGATGATGATGATGATGATGATGAAAAGTATTATAATTTTGAAGAAGATAACGATGATGTTAATTACGAAGTAAATAATTACTTATCATATGCTATGGAATACATATCTACACATTCTCGTAGCCAGTAGAATAAGTGCTTAAGTGAAATTTGTTGCATTGCTTGCTTCTCAGAGAAAATTTAATGAAAAAATCAAGATATGAACAAACAAACAAGTAAATGCATAAAATTAAGCATAAATAAGTAAGCAAGCAAGCGAGTGAATGAGTGTAACGATAAATAAGGTCATGCCAAGTATGACACAGCACCATAACTTTATATGAAGAAAAACTCATATGCAACAGCAAAAGCTGCATAAATATTTATATATATATATATGTATATATACATATATATATATATATATATGTCACACATATATTATACTTTAAAGTATGTTAAGGTGGTTGTGTTTTAAAATCAGCATATCTTTATTTCTTAAATATATACAAAGACAAATCGTTTACAATTTATATATACACATATATACATATATATATATATATATATATGCATATGCAATATATATAGTGCTTATGCACATATAATTAAAGAAACTATCATATCCGTCTGTGCTTATGCAGATACATATTAATTTATTGTAGTCAATACGCATATATTACATATGCGAAATGTGTGTTAGTCGGTAAAGGCCTTTCGAACTTGGAAACTATTTATCTTAAAACCAACAACAACAATATCTTTATCATCCAATAAAAACTTTGTTTCATGCGAAAAATTATGTGGCGTAAAAAAAAAAACTGTAACAAATATATATTTTTTATGTGAAAAAATAAAAAAAATTCAAAAATAATAATAATAATAATAATAAATATGTATAGGTGTATGTATATAAAGTGTGTGTGTGTGTGTGTGTGGGTGTTTTAAAGTATTAAATGCTAATAAAATAAATATCCTACAAATGTACCCCAACTCGTTATTGAAAATCGCATTCACTCGCATTGGCTGAGCATATGATTGCTGCCGAAACATGGCATTTTAACGTAAGTTGAAAAATTATTGCCTCTCATTAAATAGATTTCATATTATTTATTTATTAAAATTATATTGTAATTAACAAACGTGCTTCTCCCTCCGTTACACAAGAATATAAATAAATTAACTCTACAAGTAATATTCGCTTTTTAAAGCGAATCTTTTTGTACCTATACTACCTATCATCATAAAAGAAAAAAATGTTTTTTTAAAGATTCTTCTAAAACTAGAGACTAACGGGAAAATTCGGTCTTGTTAAATATTTGCCTCAATTTTGTGTGAATAACGCCAAACTCAGTACATGTTCTGTGCCCGGAAACAGTTGTTTCTTATTGAATTTGTCAAATTGTGAGTGACTTAATAACATCAGATAGTTATAGCAACAATGGACGGACTTCTTCTTCATGCTTGCTCATGGCTTGTGCTTTCTTCAAAGAACACTTGACCGATTAACACAACTATTCGTAGCATATTCCATTCTTAAGGGCTGGATATAAAAATGAGTTCTAGTGGACCTACTTATCAGATAGATATAGGAACAACGGACGGACTTCTTCTTCATGCTAGCTCATGATTTGTGTTATCTTCAAAGAACACTTGACCAATTAACACAACTATTCGTAGCATATTCCATTCTTAAGGGCTGGATATAAAAATGAGTTCTAGTGAAACTATTTACCAATTGACTTGGAAAGTGGATCCACTTCTGAAATTAATCCTTATACATTTAATTATCCTTATAATTTAATATTTAATTTATCGTTCAAAATTCTGAAATATTTTTCCCATGAATGCTTTAAAATCTAATCTAAATTATCGGCTTTTACTAAAAACTCTACCGCACTTGAGATTCGAACCCACGACCATTGAGTTGCTAGTCGAGATTCCTCGCCTTCGGCCACTCAAGCGGATTCTTAACATTTTTTTTCCCTTATAGCACCGACATTTTCATTTATCTCTGTTATTAATAAATAAAATATGAAGAGGATCCAAACATAATGCTCATAAAGTATAGATGATAACAGATAGTCTAAATTATATGAAGCCTAATATTAACTTGAGATAGGGCCAAGTCTATTAATTTTTATTTTCGTACTTTTTTCTAGTCATGTCTAGCTTTTTCGAGTAATTGAAATTGATATGTGAACCTTGATTTTCGAGATAAAACCTTAGAGATTAACCTAAGTTTTAATTATTTAGTTAAGTTTTTTGCCTTGTAAAGTGCTTTCAAGTGCTTAACTCGTCATACACTGCTATGAGAATTTAAAGTGGCCAAGAGTGCTTCAGGAAGCGAAACATTGAGAATCTAGTAACTACTCGTCTGGATTGCAAAGATAGAAAATAAAACTGTGAGCGTAGAGTACGCGACAAAATCTAGTCCTTTGTAAAAAGTTCAATCTACGGCCATGCCCGAGAGAACGTTAGACCGCACTCTCATTACCGTTAACAAGTGTGATTGTAGCATTACGGTTAATATGTTGGATTAGTTAAATCATAACACTTCCCGATCGAGCACGCATATCATAGGCTTTGGCCACTGGTCAGTCCTTTTCTTCACACTTCTGTCTGACTAATGCCGTAATACTCATGTAGTGGGCACACCCTTGGTCATTATTAAAAAAATTCTTTCTTTTTTTTGTTGCTAAATTGCAGTACGATACAGTTCCAAGTTTGTCTATATGTATATTACAAGATTATTGTTAGTTTTTTTAACGAGTCCGTCGCACAACAAGCAAATCTAGTCATATTCACTTTTCAGCAATACTTCACAATTTTTGATAATTCCGTAGGATTTCAGATATATTAAAATTATGAAAACGTATTACAAACATTATCATATTAATGGTATATCGGTATTATCTCTTGATAGGTATAAATAATGTAAATGTATTTAAAACATTTAATCTTTAATCCGATCAGTTGCAAACGTAAACATAAGTCACGTTTGTCTACTTTTGGTTAATAAGCTCATAAAACAAATAATGATATATCGACCAATTCGTTATGCAAAAATGAATTATTGAATCCATTCGCATTTGTTGTTAATTAACTGTATTGATTCTGACATTGCTAATTTAGTAATTAATTTTCGTTCAGCCTATGATACAAAAAAAAAAAAAAAGGAAAAATGGAAATAAAAAAAGAAAACAAAATGCCCATTAATTGCTTTTTATTTCTCGTTTATGTTGTTTTTTATGGTGCGACCGTGAATGAAACATGAAACATTTAAAAACGAAAGACAGCGACCTTCTTAAGCAAAATTTTTTTTTTTTTTTTTAAAGCTTTTAATTCGTGAGCGCCTGACACTGAGAGATTTATGAAAAAATTTTCGGTTTTCCATTTTCTGTACCCGTTTTTTTTTTTTTTTTTTTTTTTTTTTTTTTTTTTTTTTATAGATACGTACGTTAAATGGAGTGTCAATGTTGATGCATGCGATTGATTTCAAAGTTGCTTAGTAACTCAGTAGAGAATTTCGGTTATCGCCACTCGGCGAGTTCCAACGAGAGACAAATAAATAAAAGAATATTTAGGCAAATTCGGTCAAACTGAATATTAATCTTACGATTATTTCTAAAAAAGTACTCTTTGTAAGTAATGCTCAAAGTTATTAACCCCATAATGTCAATTAGTTCCGTCCTTAGCACTGGCAGATTGTAAATCAAAGTTTTCTTACTTCTTTCCTATTCTCATACTTTGTCCATCCATCCAGTTGAGACTATGATTTCATGTCGATTGTTCTGTGTGGGTGTGTGTTCGTTTGTTTGCCAATTTAGTGTAGTCTATGTTTTATTAATCATTCGGATGAAGACATGAAAGCAGATCAATTTATTCGAGTTTTCATATCAAGCAAATAGAAGCTTGGTTTATTTACAATGAAAAGGGGTTGAGGTGCATGGCATGGTTACAAGAGCACTAACCGGTCCCAACCAATTAAAAATTTGAGGTTACTATTATTATTATTAATTTCGTTAGAGGAATACATTCGAAGAGTAAGGTTTTAAAGCAGTAGCAACTAAAGCTATCAGCTTTGTTGGAAACTCTACCGCCCATGACATTTGAATCCATGACCATCGAGTTTGCTAATCGAAATATTTTGCCTACTCGACCGTTTAGGCGGATAAAAAAGAAATTGTTTTCTTTCCAAAAGTCTTCTAAAAATTATTTGCATACAAAGTAACCTATATATCTGTACACCATCGGTATACATCGTTCCTTAGGTGCTTTAGAAGGCAAATCGAAAGCACTTGCGCTTCATATAATTCTTTAATATATGGTGTTATTTTTGACAACCGGAAATAGGTAGGAAGCAACTCACGGAGATCTGAATTGCAGAGGATACACGTGAAAATTTTACGATCTCTATCCATCAATCCATAACTTCCATCCTTAACTTATGATAAATAGAGAGCAAGGTGTTTTCCTCTATTTGCATTTGGCAATTATTTCTTTCTACTTATATAAGGATGACCAAATATTTTAACAATAAGAGCTGGAGAAAAACCTGCAATGAAATAATTGCCACCGATATTCAAGTATGACATCTTAAAGTTGCTTAGGATCAAAAAAAAAAAAAAAAAATGATTATTGCAATCATTTGAAGAATATTTCTTTATGTCAACTTTATCGCAACCAAACTCCTAAAAACTCAAGCATTAATGCAATAAAAGGAAAGTAATTCAATAAAAATCTCATCGGGGAAATCTTCATTAATCATAAAATATTTGACTACGCATTCATCTACTTAATAATGTTACATCTATTCTATAGTAGTAGTATGATCAATTCTTCATAGATTTACTGGCATATAAATCATGGGTTTTGATAGTTACCCATCATGTACTCGCTTTGTATGATTTTGAATCATCAGTTCATGCTTGACTGTAACGAATGGTTTGGCAAACATCATGTTTTGTTTTTTGTGGTTTTTGCAATTAGCAATCTGTTTATATTCCTCCATCCCGCAACGTTCAGCAGGGCTCACCTTCCAGTTGAACGACAATTAAAATATATATACATTTACAAACACCTGTACATGTTCGATGATCAAAAAACATGAAAAGGTTACGATATTTTTATTATATACAATTCTAAGCGTTACTAGATCCAAAATCCAGATTTTCTTCTAGGGATTCAACGAATCAACAACGGATAATTCGCCGCGTAATAGAAGAAAAGGCTCAGTGTGAATACATACGAAGCACAGTGAACAAGTCTTAATAAAAGCAGCGATTAGTTGACGTCTTTGTTTTCTTTGTTAATTTATTGATGAAGACTTTCGTAGTTCGGTTCAATTAAAAAAAAAAAAAAAAAAAAAAAACAACACAATGTTGAAAATCCTAAAATTGATAAAGACTCTCTTGATTTAGAGCAGTTATAGTCCTATATAGTCTAAATTATAAAACTAGTTAGTATGCTTCCTCCCTGTTGAAAAATAACTCAAAACTTGATCATTCATATCAATTAGTTAGAGATAATGCTGTGGGGCGAGTAATAATTTCATTTTAATGATTTTGTATTTATTCTACTGCTAAGGTATGATACGTGTTATGTAATTGTTTCATTATTTTGCGAATCCAAGAGGAATGAAAAAATTTCCATTCCCTCTAACAGGGAATAGGTTTTTAATAAATTTAGATAATGATGATGATATATAAACTGAGATGATCTTCTACTCAATTCAATGATTTTTTTTTTTTTTTTTTATTATTAACAGCAACGTAAATTATGAGAATAATCATTAAAATCTAATGGAATTTCTTAATGAATACAAGACAAGTAAACTGTTATTATCATGCGGCATTAAAATCGTGATGACTACAAGAGAAGGAAGGGAATAAAATATTTATTAGTTTCTCACCTTATCAAATGATACTTTTCTCCCATTCTCCATCTTCTTCTTCTTCTTATTCATGGTTATAACAATAAATGTAAATATACACAACAGTCATATACAACAAAATCACAATAAAGTTAACTATTTCTGCGTCTTCTGATTAACTTTTAGCATCCCATAGCATATTTGCTGCAGCAATAAACCTTTGATGTCCATTACTTTAAAGAAAATTATTTACATTTTGAGTAATCGTAGACTGAGAGGATTTTTATAAATGCGTGGCATTAAATCCCTTAGTGATGGCAACAAGTTATCGAAAGTTTGATCAGATGTTCGTTTTCCACCAACCAAATCTTATTAAGATTTTTGACTTTTAAATATCTCAGTGCGGAGAAAACAAGAGGCGGCTGGCGTACACGTGGATAAATCAAAAGTCCCACGCTGATCACATAACTATTTTATAAAGTTTATGTTGTTTTCTTTCTTCCGTTCCGCGTTTAAGCGAACGAAATAAAAAATTGTTTTAGTAGCGAGAATAAAATTAAGGAAAGAATAACTACAACGGCCGTAAAACTATTTATTACTCTTTCTTGCAGCAAGCGTTAAAAGTCAAATAGTGCTTCCTTATATATATATATATATATATACATATATATATATGCATATAAAAAAGCAATATAAACACGTATACAAATGCATATCCGCAGAGAGAAGAAGCATTTTTATATAACAAATAAAAAAATAGTGATCTATTTTCCTGTCGGATGTATACGAACAAATGGATATGATTTTTATTGAAATAATAAACGCAGGGATCTGATTACTTTTGTACGATATTATACTATATAGCAGGATGATTGGCAAGAAATTAATCCAAGTTTTCCATGAAAAAAGAAAAAAATGATTATATTTCGACAACTTCTTCAATAGCTTGAGCTGGCTGCATTTTCTTTTGTCTTAGGTCAATTAAAGCCATTTTGATCCGGATGGGCGCTTCAATCATTTGTGGAGGGCGAAACTCCCGGAAACAATAATCCTTGCATATTTTTAGGCAGGAACCTCGACACAAAATCAAGTTTCAATTTAACTTATGCAGTTTCTTCCAAGAAGTTCTCTCATATAACCGCCTTGGGATTACTTTCAGCTTATGCTGAAGTTCTCTTTAACAAAATTTTCGTATGATTATCATAAGCTTTTCTTTAGCTAAGTTTATCAATTTTTGCTACACGTCTCGAACATATTCTTAAGTAAAAAAACCTGAGAACGGAATTTTGTCAATTAGTCCAAGCTCCCGTTGCTTCTTTACAAATCTGTATAATAACTTCCCTTACTAGAAGACTATTCCCTGGATAGAAGACTATTATTATTGTTAGCTAATTCGAGCGTGAGCAGCGTCGCTTTTTTTGCTAAGCAAGGAATCGTTAAAACGTCAATCCTCGAGCCTTTTCCGAAAGGTAAGACCTTTGAAAAGCAATTTTGTCAATAAAATTATCTGATGATTATCATCAGACGCTTTCTTGCCCTGCTCTCAGTCTCTCTCAGAAGTGTCCCTTTTACCGAGAGACATTTAATGCCGATAAGCCAAGCACTCTTTAATGAATGCATATGAAATGATTATTTCATCAAATATCGTTGATTGATCAAAGTTGTAGCATCGTCTGAAACCAATTTTCTTACATGGATTTTGCTAAGCTATCACCAGCTTAATTTGTTCGCCTTCTTATCCTTTTTAAGAAAGTGACAAAAGTAAAACATGCCGAAAATATTCATTCATTTTCTCTCATATTTCATATAAAAAAAAACCGACGCTAAGAAACAAAAATTGTGAAATAAATCGCGAACAACTTGCTGTTAAGTTATGTCCTTATGACGTGATTGATATCAAATGGGAAAAATTAAATGTCATAAGTAAACAAAATAGGAGACCTTCAAAAAATATTACACATGCCTTTTATGTATAAGAGCTCGCTCAGCAGATTTTTTGCTGCCAATAGGCAAAAGAATTATTATAATGAAAATCTTCTTCAATTTGTTTGCATACCACGAATTTTGACAGTGATGTATGTATGTAGTTACAGATATTATGAGTTCGGTCAAAACTATCAAATGCTATGTATCGAAACCATATGCATGTATGTAGTATGTTTAACTAATAAATTATTAAGCATTCATTAAAATACAGCAATAACTCTTAAAGAAATCACTAAAGCCAGTTACGAACGTAATGAGTTACAATAGGAATCATAAGCTGAGTATTTTATGTTAACAACCACTTTATCTACATCTATCTGAATTTATATGCCTGAATATAAACCTGTAAATATATATTATGTATTGCACGCGTGTATACATATATACATATACCCTTATATGGCATTTGCATAAGTAATGTTATTTAGTCGGATATGTTTAAAATTTAAAATACATCTGCGAAGACTGACAGAACGATTAATTTATGAAAAGTCGCTCTATATATATATTTGTATATATGTATATAGCGAGAGAGAAATACATATTCGCGTACCGGAAGTTGAAGAAGTCTAGTTTTGCACAATCTCTCTCTTTCTCTCGATGAAATTGTGAATAATAAATATATGTTTATATATATATATATATATATATATATATATATATATATGTACATTTTCTTTTTACTTTTTTACGTTAGAAACTTTTCCACAAATGACGTTAAAATTTTCATAAAACGGAATATTATGCAAAATTTAGTGAACAAAATACATTGACACATATATATATATATATATACACATGAATAAGTTCATCCATTTATATATATGTATGTATTTAAAGAAGTAAGAGAAGTGTAGAACAGTAAAACTTAAGAATAAACTGCTTGTTGGTTAAAGTGTTATATACACATAGCGTATATGGGAGTTTCTTTTCCTTTTTTTTTATTTTTTTTATTTTTTTTTATTTTTTGCTTTCTTTAGGGTGTTTGCATAGCACTACACCGAGAAGAAAATATTAAAATAGGCAAAATGAAAAGAAGAATAACACGGGATTTTAGTATCTTTTTTTTTTTTGTTCTTTTCCACTTTATATTCATTGAATTTATTTATGTTTTTTTTTTTTTTTTTTTTAAACACATGTAGAGTAGAGCGAAAATTATGTATGTATATAGAATTCATGTACTACTAGTCGAGACTTAACACATATAACGTTGCCTCTGAAGCCAAAACAAGTAGCTATTGTTGTTGATGTTGTTGTATTTTCTTCTTTTTTTTTTTTTTTTTTTAAAAAAATATTTGTATAAAAAAATCTGAACTTATACATATGCATCAACTACTTTTGTAAGAATATATATTTACAGTCAGATGGATATAAACATGGATGCATGTATATATATAATATATGTACATATATATGTATATGTATATACATATGTATAAATTGCAGATATATTCACTCTCTCTCTATTGCTTTGTTGTGTTGGGTGACTTAAAGTCAACTAAATACCTTTTCATATGCATATGAGTATAAACTACTTGTTGTGAATGAAACCAGAAGAAGAAGAAAAAGATTATGTGAACGGAAAAAATGGTGAAAATAAAATATAAAGTAAAAATGTAAAAAAAAAAAAAAAAATACACAAACAAGTGTTCAAGTGCATAAGTGTATATATACCATATAAATATGTAGATGTATAACGTATTCATGCATTCATATACACAGCTATTTGTACATTTATGATTTTTATACACGTTTGAAGAGATCTTATGTACACAACTAAATACACAGGTTGCTTAAGTATATCTTGAACGATCTGCTCTACACAATTTGCAAGTATCTGTAAACAGTAAAAAAAAGAACTACAACCCTTTTCTAACACATCTAAGGTGAACAAAACTACAAAGCAAACAATATATGAATTGAAGAATTGTTTCCTTAAAGAACATTTAATTTAAATTTTTTTTTGCTACCCTTTTTTTTATATATAGATATATGTAGATGTAAGGGTTGATTGAAAAGTTTCGCTCCGAAGTAGGAAATAAAATTTTTTCTTTCAATTTTATTCGTTAATATAGTTGCCTTCAAGAAAGTTACCTAAGGCAGTCTAATGTTTCCGCGTACCTATTTTGTAGAACAGTTAGTCGAGATCTTCAAAATGCGATTGAATTCAAAACTTTTTTTCCTTGAACATCCTTTTGATATTTATCAACAAATAATAGTCGCTGGAAGATAGATCTAGAAAATATGATGGGCAAGGCACCAAATCGAAATATGATTTATGTAATTTTGCCATCGACTTGTGAACCGGTGTTTTTTTTTGCACTGTAAGCAAAAGGCTTCATCTAAGACGGAAGTATGATTTTAATGTTCCATCATGCAGTTTATTTGGACTAAAGAAATAAGTTGTAGGACAAAAGTAAAGGCATGGGCTAGATGGTTAATTTAGTTAAATAATTTCTTTAGATTTTTTCTATCATTACACCAACTTTTCCTCGAAATTGCCTTGTTTACATTTTATGCAGGATGCCGGTATGTGTCCTCCCCACCCTTTAAGGCATTCATTTACATAAAAAGTATAACATTAGATGACATTACGTTATCATTTTGTCATGTTTGTCCATACGTCCATTGGTATGTATCTGCTTTTCTTGTGAAGGTTTGTTAAACGAAAATTCGAAAATTCGCACCTAGAGGCCATGTGTATTCTTAATTAACAATTGGATAACACAACGATAATCTTGGCCACAGTGACTGGCCAAAAAGTGCGATTATACATCAGAGAAACTTGAAAATATCCTGAAAATTATTCTTCATAAGCGAAGGTTTATCCGATATTAAACATAATCAAGGTAGGCTCTTTTTCATGGATGTAAGAAAATTGTTTTCTCAATGAGTAACACTTGACCTGACAGTGGGAAAAAAAAAGCTTTAATGTGTTACCGTTTCGATGTACTGGGAAAATCACATTTCTCCCCTACCCATCGCGTTCTCTAGATCTTTGTCAAGTCTTAAAAATGAAAGCTTCGTGCAAAAGGATGCAAATATTGTTGCAATTGTGGCACATTTTCAAAAGTGTTGAAAAATCAATTTCGAAAAAAAAGTATTGAATTATTAGAGGAATTATTAGAGGTTGCACTCTGAAATAAAGTCAAACTTTGCACCAAAAAGGGAAAAAATAAATAAATAAATGGAAGATTTTCTTGTCACTTGTTCCCGGAATTATTGAATGATTGATTGATGCCTTGCAATTATAGGTTTTTTTTTTTTTTTAATTATGTGATTAAAAAATCGTCTTTTTTTTTTGGAAACTATATTCAGTTTTAGCTCCTTTTGCTTTATTTTCTTTTCATGTGTCAGAGTTGAGTAAACTTTACTGAGCTGCAATCACGAACTTTTCAATTATATCATACTATACTTTTGCTTTTTTCTCATACCATAGTAATGGCTACGTTGACAAAGTGTTTTTTTTGCTTTCCGCAATAATTTTGCAAATTCAGCAAAAATTTTTTTTCAAAACTATTTTAAAAAAAATTTATATTTTTCCAAGGTCTCCTGGAAGACTTTTGTTCATAATTGTATTTATTTTGTATTTTTTCTTTTTTTTTTTTTTGCTAATCACCTTTGAGTCTTATGCTACTATCATGTAGATATGTGTTTAAAAGTACAGTCAAAAATAAAATAAACCTTAAAATTATTACAAATCGAATTGTTTTTGTTTTGCGGCTACTTTTCACAGTAGCGTTCGATATGTTTAATAAAATTAATCGTAAGGAAGTGTAGCATACAAAGAGATTATGAGAAATGACTGCAACCAGTAAGCAATAACTCGATGTAATTCAAAGGAGTTTAATACTTTGCTTTTCTGAAGTATCGACCTGTTTAAGGGAACTAATTACAAGAAGCGATGAAAGGCTACAAAATAAATGAACAGCAAAGGTAATAATAATGAAAGCAAGAATTAATATAAAATATTATTAACGATTGTAGTTGAAAAAAAGGCGAACCACTTCATGTTCTATGGACAAATGTAAGCGGGACAATTGCTTAAGCATAATGTGTTGAAGAGTAGGAGTAGTAACCCTACTCCGAATTAACATTCAATTTAGAAGCAGAATTATAAATACGGACGCGTAAAGTAAAGCTAATTGTGTGAGAATAAGCCGAAGGTACCGTTTATTCACAATCATTACCTAAGAGATAAGAAGAAGAGCAAACATCTTTTACCAAAAGTTATTTAAAATATGGGCAATGACTAGAAGGCTGACTGATACCCAGTAAGGTCTGTATTCAATTGACCAAAATTATAATGTAGACTGAGATGAAAGTTTATCGGATATGCTTTGAATGATTGGAAAATAAAAATGTATTGGAATAAAAAAATTTATTAAATTAAACGAATGACAGCCGACGACAATCCAAGTGAAGATATCATGTTAAGATCCCTAAGAAGGATTAGAGTTAAAAATATAGGTGAAAAGCCATCTGCACCATTAACAGATGACTGTTGAAGACACGTTCGAAAAATAAAGTTCCGTTGCAGTCCGAAAGTAAAATTGCAAACATGGATAAAATAATCTAAATGATTGAGTTTTAGTGGAAGCACTGTTGTTTAGTAGCACAGTGCAAGCGTATCTTTCAAAGCTTGTGATACAATCTTAAATAGTTTTTCCATTTTACATATAAAAACGGTAAAGGTCACTACATACATAATTCAAATAATTTAATTCACGCTTTAAAAAAAAAAAAAAAACAAAAAACAAAAAAAAAAAAGCATTTATGT